GCGCTCCCATAAATTATGACTTTTCCATGGATGGAAATCGGTTACTCGATTAGCGTAGGTAACCATCGTGTGACACCCTCGTGTGTGCGCCTGACGAGGAAACGAAGAACGGAACCGGCTGGATAGGGTAAATCGGAGCGAGACGGAAGAAGGGGTTGATCGCGAAAGAGGGAGAAAGAGAGCAAGAAAGAGATGTACATATATATATATATATATACGTATGTATCTATATGTATCGATATATATATATATGTATATATAGATATACGAACATGTGTGCGAGTGTATATGTAGAGTATAGAGAGAAGGGTCGCATGGATGGAGCCGGCGTCGAAGGGTGGCGTGGAGTTGAAAAGAGACAGAGAGCATTCCGATTGGCCCATTGTGGTACAGCCAAGCGACAATGCCGGCAATTGGCCGTCGCTCGACAAAACCGCTAAATGATCCGCCGCGGCGCAGTGGTGCCACGGCCACTTTATTTCAATCTAGGAAATCCTCCGCTACTCCTCCTCCCACGCCGCCCTCAATTCCAGATGCGAAATTACCCATTTTTCGGTATTAATGGCCGGCCGATGTATCGTGTTCGATCGTCGATCGGACCCGATGGTAATGGAATCGCGAATCGTTTCTGCCCCGTTTCCCATTTCCAGCGTAACAGACTTGTCGCGTCTGGCGTATATCTCGCTTTCGCTTTTTCGTCACGACGTTTGTTGTACATCGATTCTTATTCTCGCTTTTTATATCGCGTCGATCGAGAAAGAAAAGACGTTTCCATCGTTCGAAAACGATATTTTTTTTTTTTTTATGAGTACCTTTTTTTTTTTACGTATTATTTTATCGGGGTAGATGGAAATTGTGGAATTCAAGATGGAAAAATGTTATGTGCTCGGTGCTTTCAACAAGTAAGAGAGAGCGTCGACAGGAAATTTGCGGTGGAGACGGTGGTGGAAACGTTACACCGAGATTGCACGGACCGAGACAGGGGGATTCAAACTTTCGGGTTCACGTTGGGTCGGTTAAACGACGCGCTGCAAGGTTTGCGAGCACTTAGGCGTTAGCGGGGTATTCAGGAGCGATTAAATAATTAACAGCAATTAGGCAATTGAATTTCCTGCCCCGGTCTCGCGACGTCCTCCTCTTTCCATTTCTCCTCCGTGCTCCTCCTCCGTTCAACCGAACGTTCCAAGTCACTTTCCCAACTTTTACAATCTCGACCAAGATATTCCTAATTTCTCTTTAAAAATATTTCGACCAAACCTCGTTACACTCGTCAATTACGATCTCTCTATTCTTTCTCCTCCGCCTTTCGCTTCGATAATAATTATTTATTACACAATATATAATGTTCGTTGATTTTCGTTGACTGAGCTCGATCATTCCGAAATCAAACGAAAAAACGGGTGAAATTTTCGAGAGCGAGAAGGACGGAAAAGCATCGTGGAACGATCAACGCGTTATCGGATCGATCCGCAAACGGACGTTGTCTATTGGTTGAAAAGAGGGCTGGATTTTCCGCACAATAGAGGCAGGATGTAAAACGCAATCTCCCTCGTTCTCCGTCTGTTTCTCGCGGGGTCTGGCGGTGGCCACGAAAAATCAGAGCAGCCCAGGCGGAAAGCGAAAGCATTTATACCGGCAACGGGGCCAGCGGTGACGGTGCGCCAGGGGTTTTCGAAGGGGCGGCGAGGTGCGAGGGCAGGGGTTGCTTCCACTCGGGGGTACGGAGGAAATCAGGATAATTGTTAACAATTAGCTTAATCAACCTCGAGAGCAAGCTTTTGTTGGCTGGTTCTGATACGGCCGCTTGGGGTTCTCATGCGTCGCTCGCGCGTATTTTCTTCCAAGAAATAATTCGATCGTTTTGCGCGACGATTGTCATCCCTCCTTCCCTCCCCTCCCCTCAGGGATAAAAGGGGATGGTGAAAATTGCGTCGGGACAGTTTTTCGAATGAAAATCATTATTCGCTACCTCATTTCATTTCCTAATCTTTTTAACCAGTTTTATTTTTTTATTTGAAATCTAAATCGAAGGTTTCAACCGATTTACCGATTCTTTTTGTTTTATTCCGGTTTCAGGTCTGGTTTCAAAATCGACGCGCGAAATGGCGTAAGAAGGAAAAAGTGCTCGGAAGGGATACGAATTTCATGCACGTGGAGCAAAGTGGTAAGCTACTAACTAATATTCGTTTTTAGAATCTTCGATTTTCCGATTCAACTGCGAATCATGTGGCCTGTTTGATTAATACGCGAGAAGACGGGGAACAACAAGGGAAGATGAAATCGACGCCAATTACATTTAATTTCAGTGTCGGGTATCGCGAACTTTGATCGTTTAATTTTTCATCGGATATTCGATCGTCGAGTTCCGTGAAACTCGTTCCATAATTAAATGAACAAGAGGTTTCGAATTTCCTTTCTAAAACCACTTTTTTAAATCGTCCTTTGACGAAACAATAAGATCTTACGTACGCCACGTAACACCACGAAAGATCGAAACCGAAGTTTACCGTTATCCAAAAAAAAAAAAGAAAAAAGTTTTTTTTTTCTCTCCAAGTTCCATCGAATCGCTGTAAAACAAGGAATCTCGATAAAATCGAGACGAGGGAGAGAACATGTCCATGATAGAACAAACACCACGGATCAGAGCCACTCCTCCTTTGATTCCCAACAGCCAATTGATTCTGGACAAACGATGGAAAAGACAAAGACGCAGTTGGATCGCGAAATGCTAATTCTCCCTTCGAAACCCCGTGGCGGAGTTCGAAAAAAAAAAAAAAAAAAAGAAAAAAGAAAAAACTTCGAAACAAGGAACTAAAAATCGGTGCAAAAACGGTGTGATTGCAGGTGTCAACGAGCTGTCCCTTCACGCCCGCCTGCTCCAAACCGCCGGCGGTGTGCCAGGTGCGGATCCATCGGGAGGACCAGCGGGTGCCTTTCCCTGGTTCATCCCGCCGGTGTTCCCACCGCCGTGGCCGGCCAGCGCGCC